GCACCACGTGTCACTCCCCTACGCGCATCCCAAGCAGGGCATAGCCGAACACACCAACCGCACCCTCATGACGAAGGTGCGCGCGCTAATGAAGCGGTCAAAGCTTCCCCCGACGTACTGGCCATACGCAATGCACCACACCGTACAGGTGCACAACCTCCTATCCACCACGTCCATTGCGGGTAACCTGTCACCACACATGAAGTGGACGGGCACGAAGGGCGACACCTCCATGCTTCGCGTATGTGGGTGCATGGTGCAGTATCGACCGCCGACCTCAACCATCGGCAAATTCGCAAGCCGCGCGCGCTGGGGAATTCACCTGGGCATAAGCTATGAGTACAAGGCATGGATAATCCTAGACCTGCTTAGCCAGAAAGTTACGAACGCGGGCAATGTCATCTTCTACGAGCGACTCAACCTCGCGCAGTATCGCGCAGACGAACAGGCGAACGCAAACCAGGTCTACGCGAACAACGGGCACAGCTACGCTGCTCCTGAAGATGAAGCTGCCGTTGCCATCCTGGAGCAGGACAATGCGAGCGAGTTCACTGACATCACCGGCGGCAATGACGACGACGCCGGCGACAACTCGTCCCCAGGACCCGCGGGAGGAAGCTGTAGGGACCCTGCTCCACCATCGCCACCTGAGCCGGAGAGCGACGATGATGACGTGTAAGTAGTCGTCCCTCAGCATCGTCATGACAGCACTGTCTCTGGGCTACAACTGCTGGGCCTACACATCGCTACCTCTACAGCCCCGCGCATCATTGAGCTGTAGAACCCGCGCCAATCAATGACAGGATCACACAGCAAGGAGTGGCGCGAAGCCATGGACGCAGAAATCAAGGCGCTAGAGTTGCGCGATACCTGGGTGCTCGTCGACCGTGCGGTGATTAAGGGTAGGAGAGTACTTTCGGAGAAGTGGGTCTATCGCGTGAAGGCCGCAGCAGACGGGACGATCGAGCGCTTCAAGGCGTGGTGGGTCGTGCGCGGTTACGATCAGAGGCACGGCATTGATTTCGACCAGACCTTCGCTCCGGTCAGCCGTCACACCTCTGTCAGGATCTTGCTCGCCATCGCTGCGGCAAGACACCTGCCTCTCCGCCACGCATTTCTCTATGCGTTGGTGGATGCTGTGATTTTTGTGGAACAGCCGCACACCTACGGCGAAGGGGACCCACGCGTCTGCTAGCTGAAGAAGTCTCTTTACGGACTAATGCAAGCACCACACGACCCAAGCATGTTTCGCCTACATTTCTGCGGCGACTACATCCTGCTCACCGTGTATGTTGACGACCTGCTCTACACAAGAATGAGCACCACGCTATTTGACCAGTTCGAGAAGAACCTGGCGATGCGCGTACACATCACCACCAACCATGACGTGAAGCAGTTCCTGGGCCTTGACATCACCTACTCGCCAAAGGCCATTCATCTCTCAGCTGCCAAGTACGCTGAAACTCTCAAGAAGCGGTTCATCATTTCCCCTGCACCACTCTCCACTCCCTACCGCACGCCCGGACCGAACTACAAACCCGACAACAAAACCTTGTCCCCTGCAGGACTTCACACTTACCAGCAGCAGCTGGGGTGTCTGCTCGTTGCCTCAGTCACATGCAGGCCAGACTTCTCCTACATCGCGAGCCAACTGGCTCAGTACTCCCGCAAACGAACGGCTGAAAATCTCCTAGATCTTCAACGCACCTTGCAATTCTTCATCTCCACGCCCAACATTGGGCTATGCTACTCCACAGTCACGACCCCCTCCTTCAATCTCATCGGCTACGTGGACGCCGATCATGTTGCTGACCCGGACAATCGACGGTCCAGAACCGGGTTCCTGTTCCGCCTCGAGCCAACAGGGCCCATCTCCTGGAACTCACAGAAGCAGGACCTGGTTCCTTGTCATCAGCCGAAGCTGAATTCATCGCCACGACAGCAGCAGTTCGTGAAGGACTCTATCTACAGGAGCTCCTACAAGAGGCGAAAATCTCAACTTCGCCAACCTTTCGTCTGCACTGTGGCAATCAGAGCACAATTAGGATCGCAAACAAGCCAGGATTCGTCAACCGCACCAAGCGCATCGCGCTACGACACTTCTTCGTCAAGGACGAAGTTGACAATGGCAAGCTGGACTTTAACTATTGCCCGACGGGTGACATGGCAGCTGAATTTCTCACGAAGCGACTGCCCCGTCAGCAGTATTAACACTGCTCCAAACTCAGCGGAGTAGTCAAGCGGATCGAGACTTGCTACGGCCAAGAGTGAAGGGGGTGGTTACGAATACAACTGTGAAAGTACTGTGCACTCCTAACAGTAGCAAGTGAAGCACGCAGTAAAGAATATGAAGGCGAAAAGGTGGATTGACGCGAAGGGTCGCGTACGGTTACGAAGGATCTGGACCGTCAGAGCAAACAGCATCGGGCAGCTGCAGAGGCGAGGATTCTGCTGGGAACAGTTCGTAACCGTTTGGAGTCGCACGGTTGGATTTCGCTGCTATAAGGGAATGTACCCCTTAGAGTACATGGCTAGTCTAGTTCGTTTCGTATTCCCGTGTACTCATATTTATGCGAATGTATTTGCATGTTTTAATCATCTCGGTCATTTTACATGCACTCTGACTTGGGGTCTATCTTCCGCTGCAATACACTCTGCGAACCTTCATGAGGTCATCCTAGGGACGATTAATTTTGATCGCAACACAACTTCCGCTGTCTTATGGAGAGATTCGTCTTAATCCAATGATTCTATGGCTACCTCAGAACCTACATTTTAGACTCGACACGACGTGTGCATGAGACCAACTATACAATTCTACGACTGGATGTTTGAAATGAAATGCTTTTATCATGATATACGAGCAATATGTTTCATGTGTTTTTTCTTATCATGTATAAACTTTATTATTTGGACACTGATATACAGGAAGTGTGTTTCTACTAGCGAGGAATATAAAAGAGTAATGACGTTGCTTGAACTGAAATCTAGTGATATTTATAGAGTTTACAGAAATAAAATAATGGTGTTGCTACCTTGGAGGGAATCTCGGGGTACTGAGGTTGGGCACATATTTGTATGCAGACTTCCGGAAGCGATGCGGGGTAGCTTGGCCTGTTGAGGTACAGTATTTCCAGCCGAGCCTGTACTTGCTGCTTGGGTTCGGTTTCCCCCCAAACCTCATTGTGACAAGTTGGGCTGTAAGAACATCCGATTAAAATGGTGAGAATTACCACGGCACAGTTTGGGGTCAGGAAAAAAAAAATTTGGGCTCCAAAAAAAAAAAAATTCCGAAACGCAGCCAATCCACCTTTCATCACGCGGTTTCCTCGCTCGCGATATTTCGATATAAACAGTTGTATGATTGTTTTTTCGGGTTTCCATTTTGACGGTGGGAAGTTTGTTGTTTGACGTGGAACATCACTGCCACACAATGTTGACCAATTGGTCATTTCGTTCCTGACAATGCGGAATGCAGCTTCGGCCAGCTTCAAGCGCGAATAGGTTTGACAGTGTGCTACGGTTCACTGTATCTTCTTCAGTTTTGGGTTGTGAGGTTAAACATGTCGCGATACGATTTGTTTTAATGGTTACTTACTGTACTAATAAACATTTCAAAAAAATCAGATGTTCAGAGTGTCAGGCGCCTCGGTTGTATGTTTTCGTTCTGAACACGCTGCCACTTGCGTGTACTTGCGCCAGACACGTCAAGTTTGACGGCGTACGACTTGCTGAATAGCCGTTTTTTACCACTGTTAGTTTCAGATCCCTTTTACATTATGATACTCGCACTATATTTGGAAATGAAGGCCATATGTTATGTCATGATTTGTTTCGTTGTGTTCATTTATGTTAAAACATGCGCCTACACTAAGAACACAAGTCTGTCAGCGCGACTCCAGTCGAAACGCCATGGTCACACACACCGCAAATATTCTACCAACAGGGTGTGACAATTGAATTGTTGTCGTTCATATTTTCTGTTCAATACAGAATACCGTTCAATATGCCATTCGAATCAGCCTTCGCGTCGCGAGCCAAAAACACATGAATGCTCCGTTTCGCAAACGTAGCTGTACTGGCAGATTCCCATGTGCCATTCGAACATGCGACCGTGTCTACCGGGCGCGATCGTGGCCGGGTTTGGGGCATAAGAGGAAGTACCTTTAACGTAAATTCGGCAACTTCGTCTGTGCTGCGCCTTTCAACGACCTGTGGGACTACGCCATGCAAATTCAGGCCTGCTCTGGTCCGAAGTAAACATACAACAACGCTTACTGGTGAGCGTATATCCTTGTTACACCATGGTTGTTTCTACGGTCTATATTATCGCTTTTGTCGAGGCGCTTTTCATGTTCCGATCCCACCAAACCATTCCAAAAGTTCAGGCTGAAGGTTGGGATCATGGAGCAGTGATTTGGCTGGTGCGAGTCGTTCCGGTACATACCATCGCTGCAAAGACGCATTCACAAGATAGATGACGGAGCCACTGTCAGGCTACGTATGTGCAACCACGAATTCCTCCGCTTCTTCATGGCGCCGAGCGCAACCCGCGAAGCTCTGAAGACTTGCAGGCCTATCATCACGTTGGACGGGACCTTTTTGATCCGTGCTCAGAAAGCTACTCTGGTATACGCCAATGCGATGGATGGCAATCAACAGATCATCCCAATCGCGTGGGCAATAGTTGAGAGCAAGACCAAGGACGCATGGACCTGGTTCTGCCAGCTTCTTGATGTGCATTGTCCCGACTGGAAAGAACGGGACGACGCCGCTATCATCAGCGACCGTCACAAGGGTCTCATTCCGGCGGTGAAAGATGTCTTTCCCGAGAAGGTGCCCCACTACTTCTGTGGGTGGCACATGGGCCAGAACGTGAAGCGGTTCGGAAAGACGTCCAAGGACATGTTCTGGCGGCTGTTGACAGCAAGGATTTTGAAGAAGTACGACGAAATTAAGGCCGCTCTCCGGGTTACACATCCTCTACTCACGACTTACCTCTACGGTCCTTCACCACCATTCACCACGCAGGGTCCAAACCACACGCCACCTGCAGGTTTTCGGATCCGGAAACGAAACCTTCAGCAAATTCGCCGGACCCGCGTGACCGCCAACAACATCGCGGCGGTAGCGGCAGACGCACGGAATCGTGCCCGTGCATCACAATCTCGCCACCGCGGCACGCAGCAGAGACAGAGCAGCGCACGACGCCCATCTGCACAGCCTGATGGACCCCACGAAGCCTTAGAATCAGGTCCTTCCGGAGCGCCCGGCCCATCTCCAGCACCTGGACCATCCACAGCGGCCCGCCCATCCACAGCACCTGCACAGTCCGGTCCGCCCAGCCCATCCGCAGCACCAGGACAATCCATTTCGCCCCGCCCATCTGCAGCACCAGCACCATCCGCTGCTCCCGGCACATCCGCAGCACCAGGACCATCGGCTGCGCCCCGCCCATCCGCAGCACCCGCATCATCCGTTGCGCCCTGCCCATCTGCAGCACCGGGACCATCCGCAGCAGGAGGACCATCCGCTGCGCCCCGCCCATCCGCAGCACCAGGACCATCCGCGGCGCCCCGCCCTTTCGCAGCACCAGGACCATCCGCTGCGCCCCGCCCAGCCACAGCACCAGGACCATCTGCAACACATGGACCTACATCGCCTTGTTCTGACAGTACATCCATATGTTTGTAAGCTCTGGCTTACCATGTTTTGCGTGATTCGGACATTCAATAACATTCATGTGTCGTAATAAAAACAACCAGAATCACAACAGTAACTGTGCAAACCGTACCAGCTCCCCCCAAGTACGGTGCACATCTTGCAACCCCCCTCCCCCCCTCAGAAGCCACGGCACCATCAACATCAATCCGGTCGCCGTATCCACTTCGACGATCTTCACCGATTGTCGATCTTCAACATTGTCTGAGCGAGTTCACTCATTTTCAAAACCCTACTCAACCGCTCTAGTTTGACTAAGAAACGCTCTACATGCGAGTCAACACAAGCCCTGACTGTCCGTAGCGGAATACCCGCCTTTCCTTGGCTGCAGTGTCCCGCTTTTCCTTCCCAAGGCGAGCAGCCCAAGCCTCGAGTGTGTCGTGTCGCTCGCTGCATCTCTGTGCTCCCGTGATCACCCAGAGCTGCCAACAGCAGCTACTCCTCCCATTCCTCAGCGCCCGGGGGAACAGTACCGCCTACAAATCCGCCACGCCAACCTCACTACTCTCATTCCTCTCAATCACTAGCTACTTACTACCTTGCTCGCCTTCCTGCTAGCTCTGTTCGACATCGCCATTCCTTCACTTGGACATGGCCTCTGACTACCCTTCGTTCAATTCCGCTCTTAGCTTTTGGAAGAAAGGTGAGAAACAGGCAATAGTGTACCCGCAGCCGCTAAGTTGACACAGCAGCACAAAACACATCCTTCGAGCCAACGCTGCAGCGCCTGCCATTGGTGACTCCAGGCACTGCTCAAGTGTCACGCGCTGAACATGGCAGAGGACTGCCCGGCAGAGTGAAGCAACAGGATGGACGGCGTTCCTTGACCGCATCTGCTTTGCAAGCACAAGCAATGATTGAAAATGTACTGAAGTGAGAATTTGGAATCTGGTTGTAGGACCTACACTGTAGTAGTGACATTGCAAAACTGAAAATTCTGCACATGAGGGGAGAGAGAGGGAGAGAGAGAGAGAGAGAGAGAGAGAGAGAGAGAGAGAGAGAGAGAGAGAGAGAGAGAGAGAGGGTCCTAGCCTCTGCCGTCTCCCTTAGCCCTCTGCCCTCTCCTTCTGTGAGCTATTTAAGAGGCCTCTCTGGCCTCTTCACCTCATTATTCAGTGTTGGTTCATAAATTTTCGCTCGTTCGAGAGAGCGAGAGAGAGAGAGAGAGAGAGAGAGAGAGAGAGAGAGAGAGAGAGAGAGAGAGAGAGAGAGAGAGGGTCCTAGCCTCTGCCCTCTCCCTTAGCCCTCTGCCCTCTCCTTCTGTGAGCTATTTAAGAGGCCTCTCTAGGCCTCTCCACCTCATTATTCAGTGTTGGTTCAGAAAATTTCGCTCGCGCCGGCAGCCTTCGGCGGCCGACGCTCGACAGCGCGGCCTTCGGCCGCGCGTGAGGGAACGACAAGCTCCAAATCTGGCAACTACCAAACAACAAGACATACAAGCATGGCAGTGACAACACACGCCTAAACAAGCTACCATGGAGCAAGCGGACATGGATCCTACATCCGGTCCGCCTCAAGAGCGGCGAGGAGGCCAGAGAGAGTCCGCCACACCTCTCGGACCACCAAGGTACTTGATGCGATCACGTCGGCTCCTGAGCCAGCACGCAAGTACCGTCGCAGGCCTCGGACAGACGCATCAAGCTGTCCCACAGCCGCTACGCCACCCCTCACGGGCGCAGCCAACACGGGCGCCAGGAGGAGGGCAAGCTGGTCCGCCGCGTCCAAGCAGTCGTCCCGCGGGCCGTCAAGAAGAGAATCTGCAGGGACGGGTGGAAGAGACGCGTGAGCAGTCACCTGCACCAGAAGGAGCACCCGAAGACTCTCCGAGAGGCGCCACAACTGCCCCAGAGTGGCTTCGGAAACACGAGCCTATGGGGGAAGAGGCGCTCCTGCCAGGAACGGGAGAGGCTCAACAACATCGGCTGGAGGAGAATAATGCGCCGGAGGATGAGGAGAGGCACGAGGAGGAGGGGCAGGCTGAGGAACTGCAGCAGGACGGGCAGCAGGAGAAGGAACGCCAGGACGCGGCGCCGCATGCGGCGGGTGACTCGGGCCCGCCGTTTCAGTCTGAGCGTCACGCACCGCCGCCGTTACAAGTTGGCGGATCTCCGCCGGAGTTATCGGAGGCTCCTCTGAGGCAGCGCCACGTCCATAGTCGCGACCTCCCCACCAGCCACCTCGACCGCCACGGCGCGCGGTCCAGTTCCCTTGGGATCGGCGGCCCCGAGGAGAATCCTGCCGGCGCCGCGACGACTCATGCTCATCGCGCGGGAGGGGTGAGTGAGGACGGTATGGGCGGCGGCCAGATGACTGAGGGCGACGAGACTGCCCGGACGGAGCAATCAGAGGCGCCACGTGCGTCGACTGAACCTCAGCCTGGCTCGGGCCAGCGCTGGTGGCTAGAGGTGGCTGGTAAGACGGGTCCGCAGCAGCAGCAGAAGGCGCAACGGCAGGTGCAGCCTGTGGCGGCACGAAGGCTGCCCCAACAGCCGCAGACGAGGCCGCGACAACAGGCACGGGTACAGACACTTTCTCCGGAGCAAGGGGAACCGCCAGAGCAGGCGCAGGAGGAAGCGCAGGATCAGACACCGCAGCTGGCACAGGGGCGGGCGCAGGAGCAGACGCTGAGGCGAGCGCGGGAGCAGTCGCCGACGCAGGCGCAGGACCAGGCGCCACGGCAGGCGCAGACGACGAGGCCACAGCAGGAGCTGGTGCCGCAGCAGGCGCAGGGACTGGGCCAGCATGAGTCACAGACGACAGCGCAGATCCAGGAGCGGGAAGCGACGACATCCCCACAGCCGCAGGTGTCGGGACCGATACGGTCGGAAGGGCCACTGCAGCAAACGCCACGACAAAGGGCCGTGGCAAATACGGATAATCGTCGCCTATTGACACCGGCATCACGGGGCGGACGAGGCGGTGGACGAAGAGGTGCGACAGGGAGGGGAGGCGGACCAGAGAACGGCTTCCAGAGCGAGGCACGGCGCGCCTTAACTCGAAGAGTAGAACAAAATGAAGCTGAGGAAGAAGCAGGAGACCCCACGTTTATAGCTACGGTAGCAGAGGAATCTACCACGGAAGAGTCGGGGGAGTTAGAGGAAGAAGAACGGGAAGGTAGACGCCTCGCAAACCCAACACCAAGCCAAGCCGCCCCAATCCCAGCTGCAACAAGTGGTGAACAAAACCGGCAGGCACCAGACACCACCGCAACACAGACTCGCCAATTCTCGCCAGAACAACTGGCCAGGGACATTGATCGGTTTGGCGAAGTGGAATTGTGGGACCTGACTCCTTTACGCGACAGTCGTCAGCCCCCACTTTCGTGTAAACTCCCTGCTGACATTCGCCCGATTTTCGCCACAGCCCTCCTGACACCACTATTCCACCTCGCGCGTAACCCTGGGTCAGTCGCAGGTTGGCGCCTGTTACTCTTCATCCCGCGACTCACCCTTCGCCTCCCTTCAACGGAGAAGCCCGATTGGCCTGCTGTCAAGCAGCGACTTCGCCAATTTCTCAAAGGCGAATGGCAGCAACTTTACGACTCGGCAGTTACCGCAATCACCGGACCTCACCCGCCTCGTCATACGCCAGACGCCCTTGGCAAACGCGCCAGGGCAGAAGGCCTCGCACGAAAAGGAAGCCTCCGCAGGGTGATCCTCGCCGGTCGCCGGTCGCCGACCCATCTGCAACCATCCTCGCCACTCTCAAAGCAAAACACCCCCCCGCCCCACCAGGAAATATCATTTGGAGCATCTCCGATTCCGTTCAAGCGGCCTCGATCGAAAAAGGGGACTTCATAAAAATGTTGTGCCGCTGTGAGAACGGAGTGGGAGGGGGACCGTCTGGTATGACATTTGAACACCTCAGAGATGCAGCACTCGCCAACGCAGGGGTTACCACACACCTTCACGCCCTCGTCAACACCATCTTGCGAGGCAAACTACCAGACGAGATCTGCTCGCTACTGACCGCTAGCCGCCTCATAGCCCTAGCCAAACCTGACGGAGGCACTAGACCGATAGCCGTAGGCGAATGTATTCTTCGATTAGCCACTAAGTCCGCCCTCTCAGCCCTCTCCCAAGAATGACGGACGCATTTCCTCCCGTTACAGTACTGCGTGTCCGTCCAAGGCAGCAGCGAGGCGATTATCCACGCCGCGAGGGCCTTCACTTGCGCAAACCCAGACGCGCTTATACTACAGGAAGACCTAGCGAATGCCTTTAACTCCATCAGCCGCGCAGCAGTAGTCAGTGCACTTCGCGACACCGAACTCCAGAGCCTAATTCCCCTCGTCAAAGCATCATACAGCAGGCCGGCCCAGCTGTTCCTTGACGCGGGGTTTGGTTGCGAGGCACTGACTAGCGAGACAGGCGTGCTCTTTGCCGCTGGGATCCACCCTATCCTCACCAAGACAGCAGCGGCTTACCCATCGGTTCTGTGCTTAGCATTTGCTGATGACATCACATTCCTGGGCCCTGCTTCTGAGTGTTCAAAAGCTTTCCGCCACTTCACGGCAGGACTACATGACGTGGGACTGACCCACAACCCAGGGAAGTGCGCCGCATGGAGCGCAGCAGCCACTGATCCCCAGCAGCTGCCCGAGGGTGTCCCGCTACGCACGGAGGGACTGAGAGTGCTGGGAAGCTTCATCGGCTCGACAGAAGGGGCGGCGACCTTTCTGCGCTCACAGCTAGAAACAATGTCATCACCACTACCTCACCTAGCAAACATGGACCCCCAAGTAGCATCGCTGCTACTAACACGGTGCATCTCCAGGCGCATCTCTTACCTAGCACGCACCACACCTCAATACCTGTTACCTGAAGCTGAGTCGTCAAGGTGGGGCCGGACTCTGCTGTACACGCTTCTGGACGCTTGCGGGGTGCGTCACCCGAGGGACGAAACAGAGGACGGACGGATCTGGGACCAAGCCTCACTCCCACCAAGCCTAGGCGGCCTAGGCCTCGCCGACCCTGCAGTAGAAGGCCGATACAGTTTCCTGGCGAGTTTTGTGCAGGCCCACACACTCCTCGGCCCGTTGGAGGGCCAAGCAGGGGCCAACCTGACAGCAGCACTAGACAGCCCCGAAGCAGCTGACCACAGCCCCAATGAACTACAGAGGTGGATCCAGGACTGCAGGGATAGCCTCACACAGGAGGCGAGGGACCTTATCTCGGCGGAGCAGATTAAACCCAAGGGCTACAGCACCGCCTCGCTCTCCTAGTCCAAGGGGGACGGAGTGCCGCCCAGATTACCGCATCCAGGGAGATGGAGCTGAATCCCCTGTCAGGCCACACTCAGCGCCTCATGTCGCTCACGGGCTATGGGGCGGGAGATTGGCTCATGGCAATTCCCTACATGCCAGCCCTGCGGTTATACCCCTGCCATTTCACGTTCGCCCTCCAGTTCCGGCTCGGCATGCCACTTTGTGTGCCCGATTGCTGTGACTGCAGCAAAAGAGTCGCCATTCCCGACAAAAGACTGCCGAATCACTTGCTCCGGTGCGGTACAGGTCACGGTCGGACCAACACTCACAAGGAGTTACGCGACAAGTGCATCCGCATGGCACAGGATACAGGATTTGCCGTGCACAAGGAGTGCACTACCTTCAGCCCAGTGGACAACAAGAAGGCCGACTTGGCCTTTAGGGATGGGAGCTCGGGGGCGGTATGTCTGGCAGACATCACAATCACGGATCCTATCAGCAAACGGGACGAGAGTGCAAGGAAGGGGAGGGGCTGGGCAGCACGGGAAGCAGCGGACAAGAAGATAGGCCTCTACCTCGGCAGGGCAGAGTTTGCTGGGTTTGTCCCCTTGGTAGTAGAAACCTACGGCTGCCCCTGCGAGGAGGTGCCCACCTTCCTGAAGCTATTGGCAGATAAAGCTGCACGGAGAATCTTCAATGCGGGCCCATCTACCTATCAGGCCGCGAAGATGCTCCACCAGTTTCGCCAGCGATGGTCTATTGCCCTCCAGAGAGCCCAGGCAGTGAGCTTGGCTGCACAAGCAGAGAATCCCCCATTGGGGGGACCAGAGGGGGTGCTGAACCCCGGTGACTGCTTCACAACACTAGAAGCACCTTAGGGGGGATTTGGGGGGGGGGGGGGGGGGGGGGGGGTGGGGGGGCGGGGAGGAAGGGATTAGGGGTGTGTGTTTGCTTGATTGGGTGCTCCATAGAGGCCTCTCTAGGCCTCTCCCCTTAGCCTCTCAGCCCTAGTTCCTTAGTATAAAGGCTCTAGCAGCCAGCCTAGGTCCTCATTGTTCGGTTTTTCATTCTCCTAACCGAGCGGGAGAGAGCGAGAGAGAGAGAGAGGCACCTAGGCCTCTCCCCTTAGCCTCTCAGCCCTAGTTCCTTAGTATAAAGGCTCTAGCAGCCAGCCTAGGTCCTCATTGTTCGGCCGCGCGTGAGGGGTGGCAAGTAACGCACGGGGCACAACTATAATCCGTAACGCATACACTCATGGCATCATCAACATTCAACTAGCAGGGGAACAATGGGGCAAGAGGAGCCCGGATCTACATCCGATGAGCTCCAAGTGCGTGAAGGATGCCCGTCAGAGTCCGCGACAACTCACGGACCACCAACGTGCTTGCGCCGATCGCGGCGGCTCCAGAACCAGCGCGCAAGTATCGTCGTAAGCCCCGTACGGCTTCGTCAAGCTGCCCCACAGCCGCAGCGCCACCCAACACGGGCGCCAGCAAAACAGCAAGCTGGTTGGCCGCGTCAAGGCAGTTCTCCCGAGGCCTGTCAAGAAAGGAGTCTGCAGGGATTGGGGGGAGAGAAGCATGTGCCAGCACTTGGATCAGAAGGAGGGCATGGAACCTCCGTAGCTGAAAATCCTCCCGTGGGGGGGGTGCAGTCCGAGCTCCACATTGGGGACTGCTATGCCGTACTAGACCTCTCATGGAGGTGTAGGTAGGTAGTCGTGTGCATTTAGATAGTTGTTTGCTTGTTTGTCTGCATTCCTAGCATCTATACCTTGCATGTTTGTACCCTTTCGTTATATCAATAGACGGACCATTAGAGAGAGAGAGAGAGAGAGAGAGAGAGAGAGAGAGAGAGAGAGAGAGAGAGAGAGAGAGAGAGAGTGTTCTTGCCTCTGCCCTCTACCCTCAGCCCTCTGCCCTCTCCTACTCCAGCTATATAAGGGGCCTTCTTGGCCTCTCTTCTTCATTGTGTGGCGGCAGAATAATTTTCGCTCGTTCGAGAGAGCAAGAGAGAGAGAGAGAGAGAGAGAGAGAGAGAGAGAGAGAGAGAGAGAGAGAGAGAGAGAGTGTTCTTGCCTCTGCCCTCTGCCCTCAGCCCTCTGCCCTCTCCTACTCCAGCTATATAAGGGGCCTTCTTGGCCTCTCTTCTTCATTGTGTGGCGGCAGAATAATTTTCGGCGATCACCAACGCAATTTTCATTGTGTGGCGGCAGAATAATTGACGCTCGACAGCGCGGCCTTCGGCCGCGCGTGAGGGGTGGCAAGGGATCACACAGGCGAGTTACTATAAGCAACGTCATACACGCAATGGCAGCATCAACACCGGCCTAAGCAACAATGGTAACAATGGGGCAAGAGGAGCCTCCGTCTACATGCGGTGAGCTCCAAGGGCGTGAAGAACGCCCGTCAACGTCCGCCACAGCTCCCGGACCACAAGCGTGCTTGCGCCGATCGCGGCGGCTCCAGAACCTGCGCGCAAGTGTCGCCTCAAACCCCGGACAGCCTCGTCAAGCTGTCCTACAGCCGCAGCGCCACCCTCTACGGGCGCAGCTAACACGGGCCCCAGGAGCAGTGCGAGCTGGTCCGCAGCATCCAAGCACGTCTCACGCGGACGGTCATGAAACGTCTCTGTGGGAACCGCGGGGAGAGACGCATGAGCAAGAACCTGAATCAACAGCAGTGCATGAAGGCTCTCCGCGAGACGGGAGAGCTGGCCGCGAGACGTGTCTGAGGAGGCTGAAGCGCCTCCGCCAGGAAATGAAACGGCTCATCGGCAGCAAGAAACGCCGATCCACCAGTGACGTGAGGAGAATACCGTGCCCCCGCCGCTCCTCCTCCCGCGGCCACAAATTCCACTCCCGCCACGGGCGGAACCGGCGGCAGATGAAGGCGCGCTCCAGGAGCAGGGGCCAAGGCAGCGGGAGCAGGAAGCGTTGGGGCTGAAACCTGCGGATGGGGTGCAGCAGCAGGCAGTGGATTCGAGGGGAGCGCAGCCGGACGTGGAGCCACGCGGGCAGGCGAGGCGTGCATCGAACTGCTCTGGCTCTGCGCGGCCCTCTCATCGCGCACTGCTTTCGACACTTCCCGCTGAAGATCCGCCATCGTCACGGGCGGGCGGTACGCCCCACCGCCACCGCGCCCGCGGGGACCCCTCCAGCCCCCCCTGACCTTCAGGTTGGGCAGGCCAGTGAGATTGCTGTTGGTAGCGCCGTGGAGAGTCACGCCGACGCCGAGACGACGCGCGCTCCTGATGGAGCGCGGGGGAATGGGGGCGTGACGGGCGGCGGTCAGGCGACGGGGGGCGTGACGGCTGACCTGCCTGGGCCATCGGCATCGCCGCAGGCGCGGACTGGCCCGCCGCTGAGGGAGCAACCGACGGAGCCGGGCCGCCAGTGGTGGCGGACGCCGCCTTCGGCGACGAAACAGAAGCCGGAGCAGGCATGTCGGGGACAGAAGCGGGCGGTGCAACGGGCGCGCCAGGGACAAGAACAGGGGGATCAGCAACACCCCCAGCAGGAGCAGACACCGGCGGCTCGACAAAGAGAGCCAGGGGAACAGGAGCAGCAGCCGGAGAGGACGGAGCAGCAGCAGGAGCGGAGGGCCAGCCCCTGACACGGCAAGGGGATCCGCGGGTGCGTGGGGATGAGTATTTTCAGCGACTGTTGTCATGGGCTTCGGAGCCGGCGGTACAGGGGGCTTCGTCGCCGTGGTCGCCTTTCCGGGCCCCGACTGAGGCTGGGCGACCACAGCTGACCAGGCGGCAGCGCGCTCTGGCGACGGCTCAGACGAACCGGCAATCACCATCTGGAGAGCGGGGAGATCGCGGAGCTAGGAGGCAGGTTACTAGCGGGACGGGCGGAGGTCCGGAGAACGGGTATCAAGCAGCAACACGAATGGCTTTAACGGCCCTGGAGGCAACTAATGAGGACGACGAGCTAAGGGACCCATCTTATAGGGAAGAATCCCTCCCTCCCAGCGAAGACGAGGGGATGGAGGACGAAGGCAGTGCAAGGGAGGCAGCGGGAAGAAGAGTAACAGGGGTAGGACACTCAGCCACGCAAGTAGCACAGGCGGATCATCAACCGCCCGATGTCGATCGAACGAGTGAAATTCCAACCCCAATCCCACCAGCGCGGACGGGCCGCGCTCGACGAAATCGAACCGCCACTATCAATGTCGCGACGCGCCAATCCGCTCCGACTCCCCGCTATTTTTCGCCTGACGAACTGGCGAGGCGAGCAGACCTGTTCGCAACCATCGCGAGCTGGGACATCGCGGCACTCTGCGACAGTCGTCAACCTTCGTTGTCACGCCGTTTACCGCCGAATCTGTGCCAACTGTTCTCGCTGGCGCTTCTGACACCGTTACCTCACCTATCGCGAAACCCTGAATCCGAAGCGGGTTGGCGCCTGCTGCTGTTTCTCCCGCGCCTAACACTTCGCCAGACCTCGCCACAAAGACCGAACTGGCCGGGGGTCAAGGCCCGGCTCCGAGCCTTTCAGCGCGACGAATGGGGGCAGCTGTACCAGGACGCGGTCGACGCAGTCAACACACCCCCACCGCCACGACACCAGCCTGACACGACCGGAGTCATCAGCCGAGCCGAGGGCCTAGCGAAACGTGGCAGCCTACGCCGGGCCGTGCTGGCCCTGGAGTCAACACCCGTCTGCACCCCGAGCCCGGAAATTTTGGAAGAGCTGCATCAAAAGCACCCGCCAGCAGTACCCGAAGCAGTGACCTGGCCCGAGCCACCCGAGCCATCACCCATGCTGAGTTCGCCAAGATTCTGGGAAGATGCGAGAACGGGGTGGGAGCCGGACCTTCGGGTACGACATTTGAGCACCTGCGCGACGCGGCGATCACCAACGCAATGGTCAGCACCCATCTGCACGCCTTGGTCAATACCATGCTCGGAGGAAATTTGCCAGGCCCGGTCGCAAAAATTCTGACTGCGTCACGGCTCATAGCTCTGGCCAAACCTGGGGGAGGAGCCCGGCCAATCGCGATAGGCGAATGCTTGACAAGGCTGACAGCCAAGGCAGCCCTGATAGCCATGGGTGAAGCTGCCCGCGAATATTTCCTGCCACTTCAGTACGGCGTGGCAGTGCCAGGTGGAGCAGAGGCGGTAATCCACGCAGCCAGGGCATTCTTGGATGCCCGTCCCAACAGCCTGGTCCTACAAGCCGATATTTCAAATGCATTCAACAGCATTTCGCGACATGCCATCGCTACTGCGTTACAGGAGCCCGGACTCTTGCCACTGCAGCTATTTGTAAAACTGACCTACGGTAACCCGTCGCAACTGCTCCTGGACGCCGATTTCAACTGCGAACCGCTGCAAAGTGAACGGGGTGTTCGGCAGGGAGACCCTCTAGGCCCGTTACTGTTTGCAGCCGGAATACACCCCACGCTCTGTGAGATTGCAGAGGCACACCCCAACGTGCTCTGCTTGGCGTATGTGGACGATGTCACCTTCCTGGGTGACACATCGTGCACTGTAGCAGCTTTCACAGATTTCACAGCCAAGCTGGCCCATCTGGGCCAGACGCATAATCCGCAGAAATGCGCGGCCTGGAGCTCAACCACAGTCACACGAGCACAACTCCCGCCCGGAGTGCCGGTTTCTAAGGACGGAGTACGGCTTCTGGGTAGCTACGTGGGGACGGACGCCGGAGCAGCCTATCCGGACAGCTAGCCGAGATGACGAAGCCGATGCCACTTATAGAACGTGCTGACCCCCAAGTAGCTGCGATGTTCCTCACGCGATGCATCTCCAGACGAGTAGCCTACCTCATTAGAACGACATCGCTCCACCTACTCCCCCGCGACATCTGGAGCCAGTGGGGTCGGGACCTGCTCATTACCTTACTCACCTCATGCGACATCCGCATGCCAACGTGTCGCACCGAGCAAGCGCGTGTGTGGGAGCAGGCGTCGCTGCCCACGTCGCTGGGCGGCATAGGCATTACAGACCCGCTCATAGAAGGGGTCTACGGTTTCACAGCGAGTTTCACCCAAGCGGCGCTATTCCTGTCCTCCCTGGCGCTAGAACCGGAGAACGCTTTGACGATCGCTCAGAACCACATGCTACTGCCAAGAGATGACACCATGCCGATGCATTAATGGCTCAAGGAGTGCGAAGCGGCCCTGCCACTAGACGTGCGCGAGATCCTGGAGAAGGAGCGGCTGGAGCGATCGGATATTAGGCTACAACATGTGCTCGGGCTAAAGGTGCACGGAAGCAGATACGCCGTACAGGTCCAGGCAACCAGGCGCATGCGGCTGAACCCACTCTCAGGCCACACGCAGTGGATGTTCTCGCTGACTGGATATGGCATCGGCGATTGGCTGACCGCGATCCCCATTGAACCCACGAGACGGATAGGCCCTGTACACTTCGCCAACGCCGTTCGCTTCCGCCTGGCCCTCCCCTTTTCAACCCCTAAGAACTGCGACTGCGCGGACAAGACCGCTATTACTGATCCCCGCCTGCCGAACCATCTCCTCCGCTGCGGCATGGGCAAACATCGCATCAACACTTACAACGAGCTACGGGATGCGTGCATTAGCATGGCGCAGCACGCAGGATTCATTGTTCACGGCGAGTCGGCTGTCCACTGCCCTATCGAGGAACAAACCGCCGATTTCACCTTGACAGATAGAAGCAGTGGGGCGGTTTATGTTTGTGATATCACCATCACAGACCCCATAAGCACAAGGGACCCAGAGGCGCAGAAAGGCAGGGGATGGGCGGCACGGGAACAAGCGGATAAGAAGATCAAGCATTATGCCAACCGGCCGGAGACGGTTGGCTTTTTCCCACTGGCAGTCGACACCTATGGCTGCCCATGCGCGGAAGTACCAACCTTCCTGAAGCTACTAGCGGACACAGCGGCTCGGCGCCATTTCAATGCCGACTCTAAATCTTTTTATGCCGCCAAATTTCTGCACCAGTTTTGGCAGCGATGGTCAGTGGCACTTCAGAGGGCCCAATCAGTGGGTCTTCTACTCAAGTTGGGCGAGGCGGCAGCAGCAGAGAACCCGCCTGTAGGGGGTATCGGTCAAGAGTTACACCTAGGGGACTGTTTTGCGGTGGTAGAGCCCTTCTTGGCGCTCTAGGAGAATAGTGAGTAGGTATTGGTGCCTTGTTTGTTACATCCATACCCTGCATGCTTGTACCTTGCTGCTATATCAATACAAGGACCATTAGAGAGAGAGAGGGAGAGAGAGAGAGAGAGAGAGAGAGAGAGAGAGAGAGAGAGAGAGAGAGAGAGAGAGAGAGAGAGAGAGAGAGAAAGAGAGAGAGAGAGAGAGCGAATGGTTTGCAGTATGACATGGGGGGATGGGATGGAACGCGGGTGAGCGCAGCGGAGCACAGCAACACGCAGAGAGCAGCGACTCGGTAGTGGTGGGGAGATGGGATGATGGGTGCGGTGTGGATGGGGAAACACGGTGGCTCTTACCCTTTTTTGCGCCTTGCTTCACATCAGGGTGTTCGTGGGAGTGTGGGTGGTTGACGGTTGGAGGGGATGAGGGGAAGCTCTTGTGTGCTACTGTGCTCTCAATGAGGTGCTTCATCAATTGTTCCACGCTTGAGCGCTCCTGACGGATGTGGGCCTGTCTTGATATACCCTAATTGTTTGTGGTTTAGCCTTTGTTCTGCCTACTCTCTTGCAATGAATGAATGGGTGAAGATATCTTTCTAGTGATGATAACTGAAAACGGAACCACAAAGGTTGATTCGCAATGCAGCGCCATTCACACTCGAATGCAGACATCAAGAAGAACCAGTCGAAACACGCCACACTTGAGATTGTCCCAGCTGCTGTGGATGGTAAATACCATCTGTTATTTTGCTGACACTGTGGCTACACATCTGTCACGAACCTACCACTATCCTCTTCCTCCACAAGCCAGTCTAACTTTGCATCTAGCGCATTCTGGCTAAAACCCCCAGAAAGCCCATCCCCACCCTCCCCACCCTGTGGCTCTCGAGGCCCCCTACCGCTGACAGCACGGGGTCTGTCACCATCCCTGCTTGTCCCTGCGTTGCCAGGCAGGGCAGGGCGCGGGTGGGCGGAGAGGGAGCGCTTGAGAGCCTTGATGGAGCGGAGCAGGTCGGTGACAGTGGGGCGGGCGAGGGGGTCGGAGGCGGTGCAGGAGAGGGCGAGGCGCACCATGGGCAGCACGATGGCGTCGGGTGCTTGGGGCAGGTGGGCGGCGCGAAGCTGGGCTGTTGTGTTGCGAGACATCAGCTGCTGTGCCTGCACAGGGATGGGATTTAAAAGGATATGTTGGGGCGGGAATAGGAGGATGAACGGGAGGAGATGATGCATGAGTGTTTGCTGGGGACCCATAAAAGCGAACACACTGCTGGTATGCGTGGTGTGGCGTGGTGGCCACGTGTATTGTGCAGTGGCATGAAAAGAGAGAGAGAAAGAGAGAGCCTGTCACTCACCCACTCCCGGATGTGCACTGAGCCTCTGCCACTAGCGTTGTAGCTGGTCGTGCTGATGCTGCTGCTGCTGTTGCTGCTACTGCCGCCACCCACGGTGCCAGAGCTGCTGCCTTGCTGGTTATCGCTGCCTGCAGCTGCAGGCATCAAGGCGGGGCGGCCGGTGATGAGCTGCAGCATCACCACACCAATGCTGCCACGCCGGGAAGGGGGGATGCGGGAGAGTGGAGAAGAAAGTAGCGGCCAGAGGAGAGAAGGGAGACGCGTTTGGCTGGTCAATCAACTGAATTATACGTTAATCATGGCAAAAGCAGCAGCGATCAGCGGCAGAAAAAACTGTTACTATTAAACTGTTCTGCATGAGGTAAGCTATAGCAGAGAAGGAGGTGGGAGAGGGGACGAGAGAGCGGACTGGAAGACAGGTAGAGGCGCGTCAGTTGAAAAAATTGCAGGAAACACTGTTGCAACGGCTTGTCTGTGTGCATTTTAGAATCGTGAGCTGAGTAGCAGACTGTAAAGAGTTGAGCAGCACGGACCTGTAAACGTCTGTGGAGGGCGTGGTGCGAGCAGAGGCATGCAGGATTGGGTCCATGTACGCATTGTTGGCTGGTGGCCGTGTGTCCCTCCCTGCTGGTGCCACGCATGCACTTGCTGATGCTCCTGGCGCTGGCGATGATGCTGCTGCTGCTGGTGGCGGTGCTGGTAGTTGTGCTGCTGGTGGTGGTGGTAGTGCTTTGTGGATGGATGGGAGGGGGTCGCCCATTTTCACGGCCATGCAACCAGCCAAGACAGGCTGCGAGAAAGGCATGGGCGAGGGGTAGTGAAGGCAGCGGGCAAGGGAAGGGAGAGACGCAGATGATGGTGGATGGGATGAGGAGGGCGGAGTTGGGATATGGGAAGAAGCTAAGTGTGCGTGGCAGATCCGCCGAGTGTCACTGCACCCATGTGTCACTGCACCTGCACGGCGGTGTCAAGCAGGATGTTGCGTGGGTGTATGCGGCCATGCACGACCCCATGGCTCTGGATGTGCTTCAGCCCCCGCAGCACACCCGCGGTCACATCCAGGCAGTGCCACACGGACAGAGGCACGCAGCCCTCTGCATAGCGGGAGGAGGAGGGGGGCAGAGGGGAGTAGAGGGAGTGAAAGGGAGGAGAGGGGACATAAGAGACAGAGGGAAACATACAGAGGGGAACAAGCAGGCAAAGACGCAGAGGCATGGAGGGTGGGGTAGGCATGGAGAGAGTAGGGTGGTGGGGCAGGGGGTGTACCTGCAACGAGGCGGGCGTGCAGATTGCCTCCTGGCACCCACTCAAACACCAGCACCTGCTCCTCTGCTTGCTCCTCTGCATCACTGGCAGCAGCAGCAGCATCAGGACTATCACTCTTAGCATTATCATCACTAGCACACTTAGCAGTATTATCATAAGCACTCTTAGCAGTATCATCACTAGCACACTTAGCAGTATCATCACTAGCACTCTTAGCAGTATCATCCCTAGCACTCTTAGCATTATCATCACTAGCACTCTTAGCAGTATCATCACTAGCACTCTTAGCATTATCATCAGTAGCACTCTTAGCATTATCGGCAGCAGCAGTAGCAGCAGCAGCAGCAGCAGCAGCAGCAGGCGAGTGATGGCCAAAGGCAGTGCCACGCTTCTCCCAGCAATACCCCAGCAGTCGCTGCAGGTTGGTATGGCGCATGGCCCACAGCATGGCCACCTGGGCAGGAACAGAAGGATCCACAAGGAGGGGGGGATACAATGGCAAGTTAGAATGGCACAGCACAGCACAGCACAGCACAGCACAGTGTTGTAATTGTACACTATATAAAACATTCATAGGCTAGAATAGGTGTAGTCCTTTAGGTTCTTGGGGGGGTTGGGTGTACACTCCAACCACACTTTGTGGTTGGTCAAGATTGGATTTGGTCTTGGCCCTTGGTTGGCACTTGCCAACTTTTGGTCCTTAGACCAACCAATCCCAACCTAGCCACATTGTGAGGTTGCCTACTCCACAAGGCACCTCACCCATTGGCCAACTTATTGGCCAATAGGGTTAGCTCCTCCTACAACCTTCTCTTCCTTGCATGCTTGTATTATAGAGCCTTGTTGGCTCATTACTAATTATACTCTTGAATTCTATCATGGTATCCAGAGCCAAATGGCTCACGCCGTCCTCTCTCGATCCTTAGACTGTTTTTTACTCCCCGCTCCTCTACCCTAGCGAATTATGACATACAACCGCCCTCCCGCACCTCAGATCTAGTCTTCCGCGGCTCAGTACCGCCCTCCCGCACCTCAGATCTAGCTTTCCGCGGCTCAGATCTACTCCTCCGCGGCCTCAATCCTCCCTCCTGTGGCCTCAATCCTCCCTCCCACGGCCTCAATCCTCCCTCCCGCGGCCTCAATCCTCCCTCCCACGGCCTCAATCCTCCCTCCCGCGGCCTCAATCCTCCCTCCCGCGGCCTCAATCCTCCCTCCCGCGGCCTCAATCCTTCCTCCCGCGACCCTAATCCTCCTCCCCGTGGCTCTGCCCGCCGTCGCGGACGACCGACGCGCCGTCGCGGACGACCTGCGCGCCGACGCGGATGGTCAGCGCGCGGCCACCAGCGACCTGCGCGCCGACGCGGACGGTCAGCGCGCTGTCGCCAGCGACCTGCGCGCCGACGCAGCCGGCCAGCGCGCAACCGCTAACGACCCGCGCGCTGACGCGGACGGCCAGCGCGTGACCGCCGACGACCCGCGCGCTGACGCGGACGGCCAGCGCGCAACCGCCCGAGCCGCGCGCTGACGCAGACGGCCAGCGCCCGACCGCCGACAAGCCGCGCGCTGACGCGGACGGCCAGCGCGCGGCCACGAACGAACCGCGCGCCGACGCGGACGGCCAGCACGCGGCCGCCGACGACCCTGCGCCGACGCGGACGGCTGGCGCGGAGCCGCGGCTGACCTGCGCGCCGTCGCGTTCGGCTGCCCGCGACCTCCACGACCCCGCAACCCTAATCCTCCCTCCTCCCCCTATCCTGCCCCACACCCGCGCCCCTCCCCACACTTCCGCACCAGCCTCTCTTCCCCCCCCCTACCTCCTCCCCCTACTCCACCCTTAACGGCAGCGGCAGCAGCGGCGGCAGCAGCAGCAGCATCGGCGCCGGCAGCAGCAGCAGCATCGGCGGCGGCAGCAGCAGCGGCATCGGCGTCGGCAGCAGCAGCGGCAGCAGCAGCGGCACCGGTAGCGGCAGCAGCAGCGGCACCAGCACCGGCAGCAGCGGCATCAGCAGCGGCGCCTTCACCACTCCGCCGTCATGGCGTCGTCGGACTCATCGGTCGATCTAGCGACCATTGATGCTCTCGAGCTGCTGGGCGACAACTCGGCCGCCAACTGGCACTCCTATGCTCACTCCGTCGAGGTGTTGCTGTCCTCGGTCATCGTCAGCGGATATACCCTTCGCTCCGTCGTGTTCCAGGAGGAGGGTGGACTCCAGCCCATCGCTCCTTCCGCCCCCACTGGACCTGCTCCCGATGAGCCCGGACCCGAACCCGAGCCTCCTGGTGATCCCCCCTCCTTCGCGCCGAATGTTCACAACCCACAAAGCGTGGAGTCTGCCATTCGTGCCTATCGCACCTCACTCAACGACCACCTTCGCCGCCAACTGCGCTACGACGATGACAAGCGCATCTACGACAGTGCTGCTGCCCTCCACCGTGAATACCAAGCCCAGTTCGCCACTTACACTACCCGCCTCACCACCTACACCACTGATATCGCAGCGTGGCGCGTTGCTGATCGTCGCGCCCTCGCTATCCTCCTCGCCACCATCCCCTCCTCCCTCAAACGAGAGCTCTCCCCCACCTCCTCCTCCCACCTGTGGCAACTGTTAGTCGACCTCTTTGACCGACAGGACATCGCCACTCTCTATGCACTCATTAAGGAATTCGGATCCATCACCATGGATTCCACCGCCGGCGCAGCTGCCTTTACTCGCCGAGTCCTTGACCTCGCTCGCCGCCTTGCAGCGCTCGGTGTTGTCTACCCTGACACCGTCATCTGCTGCCACCTTCTCGAGGGTCTCACCCCTGCCTTCGATGCCCATAAGCTGACATACATGCAGCTCCTCTCCAAGCATGACACTCCCGCTCAAGTTGCGCAATGGATCATCACCACTGAAGCTGAAATCCTGCGCCACTCCTCCTCCACTGCCGCAGCAGCACAGCAGCGCAGCAGCAAAGGCGGGCGTGGGGGGGGGCGTGGAGGTGGGCGTGGTGGTGGTCGAGGCGGCTCTGGCGGCCGTGGTGGTGCGGGTCGTGGTGCAGCGGCGGCCTTCCCACCCTGTCAGTATCTTCCCCTCTATGGCCCCACCCGAGGCCAACGCTGCAATCAAACCACTCATGCGACTGAGACGTGCTTCAAGGCACTCAGCGATGAGTGGTTCGCTCGTGGGAACTCTGGCACCCCTCCTCGCTGGTCCGCCCTCAACCCCCGCCCCACTCCCCTGGATGTCCGCACCTCTCCCCTCTACGCCCCTTCCTCCTCCTCCCAGGCCCACCAGGCCTTTGCTCTCCCCTCTCACCAGCAGCAGCAGCAGCAGCAGCAGCAGCAGCAGCAGCAGCAGCAGCAGCAGCAGCAGCACCACCAGAGTGTCCAGCAGCAGGGGCCGCAGCAGTACGGGCAGCAGCTTCATCAGCTCCAGCAGCAGCTTCAGCAGCTCCAGCAGCAGCTTGACCTCCAGCCCCAGCTTCCTCTCCTCCCTCCTCCTCCTGTCCCCCAGCAGCAGCCGTTTCCCAGCTGGACCACCGGGAATGCGGCCTCCGCGGCCCACCTCTCCGGTCCATCCCCTGCGCCGTCTACAGGTGGCAGTGTGACCCCCTTTCCCTCCTCTGGCTTTGTTGGTCTGCTTAGTCAGCCTCCTTCTGTTGCATCCCCTATGTATGCTCCTGCTATTAATGAAACTTCCATTCAGTACTCCGCCTCACCCTCCTCCACCCTTGAGTTCGTCTTGGACAGTGGAGCCACTGACAATGTCTTTCGCGATGCCGGCAAACTCCATCCTCTCCCCACACCCACGTCCCTCCTTGGCGCTGATAGCAGCTTTTCCATCCCCTGTCACAACACGTCCACCCTTCCCTGTCCTCTCTTTCCCTCAGGTACTGTCACAGGTCTTCACATTCCCTCCCTTCGCACCAACCTCCTCTCCCAAAGGTCCCTCCAACAATCCATGATCACCACTGTCACCCCAGGTGGTGCTAACCATTGTGACCTTTACCAAACCTCCACAGGTCGCTTCCTCTCTCGCATTCCCTACTGTCCCCGCTCCCGTCTGTACACCCTTCGGGTTCCCCGCCCCCTCACCTTCCAAGTTGCCTCCCCTCCCCTCCTCCCCCCCCCTCCTCCCCTCCCTCCCACTAACCCACCCGTCCCCCCCCGCCCCCCTGACTCTGACTGCACATGTCGCTCCCTCTCTCACCCTGCCATCCTCCTCCATCACAGGCTAGGCCACCCCAACTTCGCTACTCTGCGCTCCTCTGTCTCCTCTGGTCTCCTCCACGGTCTCCCCTCCTCCCTCCCTCCCCTACCCAAATCCCCTGCCCCCCCTTGCGCCGTCTGTGTTCAGAGCAAGCTCAAGCAGCAGCCGCACCGGAGCTCCCCCTCCGCTGCTGCCCAGCCACTTGACCTTGTTCACATGGACCTCTGGGGCCCTAATCCCTCTCCCACTCGCCAGGGCCATCGCTACCTTCTCGTGCTCGTCGATGATCACAGTCGGTACTCGTCCGTCTCTCTCCTTCGAACGAAGGCGGACGCTCCGACTGCGATCATTGCCTGGCTCGAACAAGCGAACACCCATTTTGGGCGCCCTGTTCGCCGCCTTCACTCTGATGGTGGTGGTGAGTTCCTTAACAACCAAATCTCCTCCTATTGCCAATCGCGCGGCATTCTTCAGACTTACACCCTCCCACACTCCCCACAGCAGAACGGTGTCGCTGAGAGCCGTGTTCGGGAGATCACCAAAACTGCTCGGTGTCTTCTTGTCCACGCCTCATGCCCCCCTTCTCTGTGGGGCTATGCCCTCCTTCATGCCGCCCTCCTTACTAACCTTTACCCTCACCCCCTCCTCCCCTCCACCACCCCCACTGAGCTATGGACAAAGACCAAACCCGATGTCTCCCCTCTTCGAGTCTGGGCCTCAAAGGCATATGTCCTCATTCACCCGTCTGACCGATCCCGTTCCCTGGGAAAGCTTGCCCCTCGTACCCTTCCTTGCATCTTCCTTGGTCATAACCCCTCTTCCCCCGACTATCTTTTCCTCCACCCCCCTTCCGGTCGACTAATTCGCAGCAGAGATGTCGTCTTTGACGAATCCACCCCGTACTATTCCTCTCCTCCGTCCACTGACCCTCTCCCACCTCTGACTCGTCCCCTTGTCTGGTCTGACACCACCCCTCCCCCTCTCCTCCCTCCTCCCCCCATCCTCCCACCCCCTCCCCCTCCGCCCTCCCAGTCCCACGGTGCCCCCCCCTCGTCTGGTGACATCTTTGACCCGGACCCCCTGTCTTCCCCTGTCTCCCCCGCTCTCCTCCCCTGGTGCCCCTCCTCCCCCTCCCCCCCAACCATAACCTCCCTCCCCCACTCCCCGCGCCATACTCACCCGGTATCCTCACACCAGGTCACGTGACAGTATCCTTGGTGCACCGCCCCCTGTTACCCTCTCTACCTCTACCCTCCCTCCTCTTTCCCCCCTCCTTCACTACTTCTTCCAGGCTGTCTTGCATCCAGCCCCCTCAACCACCTCTCCAGCACCAGCAGCAGCAGCTCCAGCACCAGCCACCGCAGCGGCACCAGCAGCGGCACCAGCAGCGGCGAGTGCAGCGGCAGCAGCGGCATCGGCAGCGGCACCAGCAGCGGCATCCGCTCCAGCACCAGCAGCGGCACCAGCAGCGGCACCAGCAGCGGCACCAGCAGCGGCACCAGCGGCGGCACCAGCAGCGGCACCTGCGGTCATCCGCGCCTTCCACACCTCCCTCTCTGAGGACTCCCATGAGGAGTTCCTTGACCTCCACCTCTCTGACCCCTCCCTCCTTCCCATCACCGTTGACCTCTCTGGAACACCGGTCTTCGCCTTTTCCTCTGCTCCCTCCACCTTCATCCCAACCACGTATGAGGAGGCCATGGCTTGCCCCGACGCCCCGCTCTGGCTCGCCGCCATCATCAAGGAGCTCGAGGCATTTATTGCCAACTCCTCCTTCGTTGATGTGCCTTGCCCTCCCTCCTCTACGAACGTGGTAAAGGGGAAGTGGGTGTTTCGCGTCAAACAGCTACCAGGAGAGCCGCCCGTCTACAAGGCCCGGTATTGCGCCAAGGGCTTCACGCAGCGGTATGGCTTTGACTTCTTCGACACCTTCTCCCCCACCGCCAAACCTGCTACCGTTCGCGCCGTACTCGACCTCGCCGCTCGCCTCAACATGGAGATCCACTCGATGGATGTCTCCAACGCCTTCCTGCAAGGCGTGCTACGTGAACTGATCTACATGGAGCGCCCAGCGGGCTTCCACCTCCCCTTCCCCGCCGACTCCGTCTGGCAGCTGCGCCGACCGGTGTACGGGCTCCGCCAGGCACCCAGGGAATGGCATGCCAAGCTTGCTGCCACCCTTGCCGAGCTTGGGTTTCACACCTCCCGCTCTGACGCCAGCCTCTTCCTCCGCACCTCCCCCTCCCCCTTCTACATCCTCGTCTATGTTGACGATATGATTCTCCTCACCGCCGATCTTGCCGAGCTCGAGAAAGTCAAGACCGAGCTGGGCGCACGGCTCAAGTGCAAAGATTTGGGAGAGCTGCAGCACTACCTCGGCATGACCATCACTCGCGACCGCTCCGCCCGCACCATCTCCCTCTCTCAGGGTCACTATCTCCAGCAAGTCTTGGACCGGTTTGAAATGGCGCGCGGTAGCCCCCAGCCCACTCCACTCTCAGTTGGGCACCACCTCTCCCCACCCTCCTCACCCTCTGCCTCCTCCCATCCTTATCCTGAACTCATCGGCTCTCTCATGTACGCCATGGTTTCCACTCGCCCTGACCTTGCCTACCCCATCAGCGTCCTCGCTCGCTTCGTTGGCGCTGGCAAGCACACAGAGGAACACTGGCAGGCCGCCAAGCGCGTCCTTCGCTACATTCGTGGCACAAAAGACTATGTCCTTACCCTTGGCGGCCCCTCCCAACCCCTCCTCAATGGCTACAGTGATTCTTCCTGGGCTGACTCTCGCCCGGACAGGCGGTCCTCTCAGGGATATGGCTTCTCTCTGGGCAGCGGTCTCATCAGCTGGCGGTCCACACGCTCCTCTGCCGTCGCCCTCTCCTCCTGCGAAGCAGAGCTCTACGCTGCAACCATGGCTGCGCAGGAGGCGCGCTGGCTCACCTTCCTCCTCGATGAGCTTGGTGCACCCCAGCGCTGTCCCACAATCTGGTGTGACAATGCCAGCACCATTCACCTCACTAAGGATGCTGTGTATCATGGGCGTTCCAAACACATTGAACTTCGCTACTTCTTCATTCGTGATCTCGTTGAGGCCGGGCACCTTCGCCTTGGCAAGATCGACTCGGCGGCCAACCTCGCTGACATCTTCACTAAAGCTCTTCCCCAAGCATCTCACTCCTTCCTTCTGCGTCTCCTTGGCCTCACCCCTCCTCCAGTTGTGACGGCCTCCTGATTACATCTTCTAGCCTTGTGCATGTTGGGAGGTTGTGTTGTAATTGTACACTATATACAACATTCATAGGCTAGAATAGGTGTAGTCCTTTAGGTTCTTGGGGGGGTTGGGTGTACACTCCAACCACACTTTGTGGTTGGTCAAGATTGGATTTGGTCTTGGCCCTTGGTTGGCACTTGCCAACTTTTGGTCCTTAGACCAACCAATCCCAACCTAGCCACATTGTGAGGTTGCCTACTCCACAAGGCACCTCACCCATTGGCCAACTTATTGGCCAATAGGGTTAGCTCCTCCTACAACCTTCTCTTCCTTGCATGCTTGTATTATAGAGCCTTGTTGGCTCATTACTAATTATACTCTTGAATTCTATCACACAGCACAGCACAGCACAGCACAGCACAGCACAGCACAGCACCGCACCGCACAGCACAGCACAGCACAGCACAGCACCGCACGGCACGGCACGGCACGGCACGGCACGGCACGGCACCGCACAGCACAGCACCGCACCGCACCGCACAGCACAGCACAGCACAGCACAGCACAGCACAGCACAGCACAGCACAGCACTGCACTGCACAGCACAGCACTGCACAGCACAGCACAGCACTGCACCGCACAGCACAGCACAGCACAGCACAGTGTGTGCGGTGGAGCTACTCAAAGCTCTCTCACCTCTATCTGGAAGTTGGTGGAAAGCTCCTCGTTGCCGCGCCTCACAACGAACCACACCTGGCGCGCATCCACAGGACTAACTGCCTTGTACCTCTGCCCCCCACCGCTGCTGCTGCTGCTCCACCCCTGTTTCTCCACCCTGGTAGCGTCACTCCACCCACCCGTTGCCTGTGCCACGAGAGCCGTGGGGAGCTGTGGACAGCGGGATCGGCTGAACACACGGGATGCTGAGGGGGACGAGACGAGGGAAGGGAGAGCGGGGTGAGAGGAGGAGGGAGATCAAGTGGGGAACTTGATGGTGAGATGTTGCTGCACGAGCAGCAATGCGTGGGGCGCAAGAGAAGCAATGCTGAGCAGAAGCACGCTACATGCCCCTTGAAGCCAGCTATGCCACATGCCCCTTGAAGCCAGCTATGCCACATGCCCCTTGAAGCCAGCTATGCCACATACCTTTCAAGGTCGTTGCTAGCTACGCAGTTGCTCTTACCAGAGGCAGCTAGTGGCTGTAGTTTCAACCCCTGGGCTCCCAGTCTCACACACCCAGTAGCAGCAGCAGCAGCAGCAGCAGCAGCAGCAGCCACGAGCAGACACAACACGCCCACGGATGTCCCCACGATTGCGGAGGTTGGCAAACCGGTGGAGGTTGGAGGAGCAGGAGGAGGGGCGAGGGGAGAGGAGAAGGCAATAAGGGAGGAAAGAGGAGGAGGCGGGGGGTTCATGAGCGCGAGGCTGGGAGGGAGAGGAGGTGAGAGAGGAGGAGGGGGAGGTGGGTGGCGGAGTTGGCCTGTGAGAAGAGAGGGGGGAGGGAAGTGGGGTGTGGAGGGATTGTGGAGGGGAAGCAGCTGTTGTGCTGATGAGCTGTGATGCCAATGCATACTGTCAGATGGCGTGCTTTGAAGAATGACAAATGCCGGGAAGAATGATGAAAGCCGTGAAGAATGACGAATGCCGTGAAGAATGGAGAATGCCTTGAAGAATTTCAGATACCACATTCACAACGGCACACAAGAAGCCATTTCACTTGCAGTGAGAGACAGGCAGGCCGTTCAAAGCCATGAACAATCATCTCATCACCGTTCACCATTGAGTGGGGTGCAGGAGGCACAGAAGTCAAAGCAGAGGTTCTTGCAGAAGAAGGAGGAGGCGCTCTGCTGGACCTCACAGCTTTTGCCAGCTGTGCCGCATGTCATCCCTGGAGGGGTGAATCTGGAAAGGGCAAGATGGTAGGGGGGGATGGAGGAGCAGCAGGGAAGGGTGTAGTGTGGAGTTCTGTGCAAAGGAGGATGTGAAAGGCAAGACGCATTGTTCTCTTATTTTGCCTATGTATTTGTGTGTGTGTGTTTGGGTGCGTGCGTGCGTGCGTGTGTGCGTGCGTGAGTTTACAATCTATTTGTCACATTGGTGTCTTTTGATGCTATTTGTCTAATGTAGGTTCCCATGAGAATGATGTGTGTGGCTTTCTGCATTCGGTAGCACGCCTGTGCGACTGTGAAATCGGTGTGCTCATTCCTGTGTCTGGTTTTACAGGAAGATAGCAGTCCGGTGAGCCTTTAGAAGGACCCAAACAGACACGCACGCACGCACACACGCACGCACACACGCACGCACGCACGCGCGCGCGCACGCACACACACACAAACATACACACACACACACACACACACACACACACACACACACATACACACACACAAACTCACAAGTGCCCAAAGAATGATGCGGGGTGAGAGGCAGTGCGGAGGACCAACATTTGAATGAGGTTGGGGAGAGCACCAAGGGAGGCTGGCAGCGAGCCCGACACGTTGGTGTTGGCCACGTCCCTGGGACAGGGCGGCCGTGGGTTGCGCAACACAATGAGACAAGGAGATGGGAGCAGTAGGTGGGTGAGGATGAGTCATGATGGCACCCTGTAAGGATCACAACACTGAGTATAGAGATATGTTTGTTTCTGATCATTGTTTTTGGGGGTTGATTAATTGTGGAGAGGACAGGTAGACATGGAGGGAAGGTAGACATGGAGGGAAGGTGGACATGGAGGGAAGGTAGACATGGAGGGAAGGTAGACATGGAGGGAAGGTAGACATGGAGGGAAGGTGGACATGGAGGGAAGGTAGACATGGAGGGAAGGTGGACATGGAGGGAAGGTAGACATGGAGGGAAGGTAGACATGGAGGGAAGGTGGACATGGAGGGAAGGTGGACATGGAGGGAAGGTGGACATGGAGGGAAGGTAGACATGGAGGGAAGGTAGACATGGAGGGAAGGTAGACATGGAGGGAAGGTAGACATGGAGGGAAGGTGGACATGGAGGGAAGGTAGACATGGAGGGAAGGTGGACATGGAGGGAAGGTAGACATGGAGGGAAGGTAGACATGGAGGGAAGGTGGACATGGAGGGAAGGTAGACATGGAGGAAAGGTGGACATGGAGGGAAGGTGGACATGGAGGGAAGGTGGACATGGAGGGAAGGTGGACATGGAGGGAAGGTGGACATGGAGGGAAGGTAGACATGGAGGGAAGGTGGACATGGAGGGAAGGTAGACATGGAGGGAAGGTGGACATGGAGGGAAGGTAGACATGGAGGGAAGGTAGACATGGAGGGAAGGCGGACATGGAGGGAAGGCGGACATGGAGGGAAGGTGGACATGGAGGGAAGGTAGACATGGAGGGAAGGTGGACATGGAGGGAAGGTAGACATGGAGGGAAGGTGGACATGGAGGGAAGGTGGACATGGAGGGAAGGTGGACATGGAGGGAAGGTAGACATGGAGGGAAGGTAGACATGGAGGGAAGGTAGACATGGAGGGAAGGTAGACATGGAGGGAAGGTAGACATGGAGGGAAGGTAGACATGGAGGGAAGGTAGACATGGAGGGAAGGTAGACATGGAGGGAAGGTGGACATGGAGGGAAGGTAGACATGGAGGGAAGGTGGACATGGAGGGAAGGTAGACATGGAGGGAAGGTAGACATGGAGGGAAGGTGGACATGGAGGGAAGGTGGACATGGAGGGAAGGTAGACATGGAGGGAAGGTAGACATGGAGGGAAGGTAGACATGGAGGGAAGGTGGACATGGAGGGAAGGTGGACATGGAGGGAAGGTAGACATGGAGGGAAGGTAGACATGGAGGGAAGGTGGACATGGAGGGAAGGTGGACATGGAGGGAAGGTGGACATGGAGGGAAGGTAGACATGGAGGGAAGGTAGACATGGAGGGAAGGTGGACATGGAGGGAAGGTAGACATGGAGGGAAGGTGGACATGGAGGGAAGGTGGACATGGAGGGAAGGTGGACATGGAGGGAAGGTAGACATGGAGGGAAGGTGGACATGGAGGGAAGGTGGACATGGAGGGAAGGTGGACATGGAGGGAAGGTAGACATGGAGGGAAGGTAGACATGGAGGGAAGGTAGACATGGAGGGAAGGTAGACATGGAGGGAAGGTGGACATGGAGGGAAGGTGGACATGGAGGGAAGGTAGACATGGAGGGAAGGTGGACATGGAGGGAAGGTAGACATGGAGGGAAGGTGGACATGGAGGGAAGGTAGACATGGAGGGAAGGTAGACATGGAGGGAAGGTGGACATGGAGGGAAGGTAGACATGGAGGGAAGGTAGACATGGAGGGAAGGTGGACATGGAGGGAAGGTAGACATGGAGGGAAGGTAGACATGGAGGGAAGGTAGACATGGAGGGAAGGTAGACATGGAGGGAAGGTAGACATGGAGGGAAGGTAGACATGGAGGGAAGGTGGACATGGAGGGAAGGTAGACATGGAGGGAAGGTGGACATGGAGGGAAGGTAGACATGGAGGGAAGGTAGACATGGAGGGAAGGTGGACATGGAGGGAAGGTGGACATGGAGGGAAGGTAGACATGGAGGGAAGGTAGACATGGAGGGAAGGTAGACATGGAGGGAAGGTGGACATGGAGGGAAGGTGGACATGGAGGGAAGGTAGACATGGAGGGAAGGTAGACATGGAGGGAAGGTGGACATGGAGGGAAGGTGGACATGGAGGGAAGGTGGACATGGAGGGAAGGTAGACATGGAGGGAAGGTAGACATGGAGGGAAGGTGGACATGGAGGGAAGGTAGACATGGAGGGAAGGTGGACATGGAGGGAAGGTAGACATGGAGGGAAGGTGGACATGGAGGGAAGGTAGACATGGAGGGAAGGTAGACATGGAGGGAAGGTGGACATGGAGGGAAGGTGGACATGGAGGGAAGGTGGACATGGAGGGAAGGTAGACATGGAGGGAAGGTAGACATGGAGGGAAGGTGGACATGGAGGGAAGGTGGACATGGAGGGAAGGTAGACATGGAGGGAAGGTGGACATGGAGGGAAGGTAGACATGGAGGGAAGGTAGACATGGAGGGAAGGTAGACATGGAGGGAAGGTAGACATGGAGAGAAGGTGGACATGGAGGGAAGGTGGACATGGAGGGAAGGTAGACATGGAGGGAAGGTAGACATGGAGGGAAGGTAGACATGGAGGGAAGGTAGACATGGAGGGAAGGTGGACATGGAGGGAAGGTAGACATGGAGGGAAGGTAGACATGGAGGGAAGGTGGACATGGAGGGAAGGTGGACATGGAGGGAAGGTGGACATGGAGGGAAGGTGGACATGGAGGGAAGGTAGACATGGAGGGAAGGTGGACATGGAGGGAAGGTGGACATGGAGGGAAGGTAGACATGGAGGGAAGGTAGACATGGAGGGAAGGTAGACATGGAGGGAAGGTGGACATGGAGGGAAGGTGGACATGGAGGGAAGGTAGACATGGAGGGAAGGTAGACATGGAGGGAAGGTAGACATGGAGGTAAGGTGGACATGGAGGGAAGGTGGACATGGAGGGAAGGTAGACATGGAGGGAAGGTGGACATGGAGGGAAGGTAGACATGGAGGGAAGGTAGACATGGAGGGAAGGTAGACATGGAGGGAAGGTAGACATGGAGGGAAGGTGGACATGGAGGGAAGGTAGACATGGAGGGAAGGTAGACATGGAGGGAAGGTAGACATGGAGGGAAGGTAGCCATGGAGGGAAGGTAGACATGGAGGGAAGGTGGACATGGAGGGAAGGTAGACATGGAGGGAAGGTAGACATGGAGGGAAGGTAGACATGGAGGGAAGGTAGACATGGAGGGAAGGTGGACATGGAGGGAAGGTAGACATGGAGGGAAGGTAGACATGGAGGGAAGGTGGACATGGAGGGAAGGTGGACATGGAGGGAAGGTAGACATGGAGGGAAGGTGGACATGGAGGGAAGGTAGACATGGAGGGAAGGTAGACATGGAGGGAAGGTAGACATGGAGGGAAGGTGGACATGGAGGGAAAGTGGACATGGAGGGAAAGTGGACATGGAGGGAAGGTAGACATGGAGGGAAGGTAGACATGGAGGGAAGGTAGACATGGAGGGAAGGTAGACATGGAGGGAAGGTGGACATGGAGGGAAGGTGGACATGGAGGGAAGGTAGACATGGAGGGAAGGTAGACATGGAGGGAAGGTAGACATGGAGGGAAGGTAGACATGGAGGGAAGGTAGACATGGAGGGAAGGTAGACATGGAGGGAAGGTAGACATGGAGGGAAGGTAGACATGGAGGGAAGGTGGACATGGAGGGAAGGTAGACATGGAGGGAAGGTGGACATGGAGGGAAGGTAGACATGGAGGGAAGGTAGACATGGAGGGAAGGTAGACATGGAGGGAAGGTAGACATGGAGGGAAGGTGGACATGGAGGGAAGGTAGACATGGAGGGAAGGTAGACATGGAGGGAAGGTAGACATGGAGGGAAGGTAGACATGGAGGGAAGGTGGACATGGAGGGAAGGTGGACATGGAGGGAAGGTGGACATGGAGGGAAGGTAGACATGGAGGGAAGGTAGACATGGAGGGAAGGTGGACATGGAGGGAAGGTGGACATGGAGGGAAGGTAGACATGGAGGGAAGGTGGACATGGAGGGAAGGTAGACATGGAGGGAAGGTAGACATGGAGGGAAGGTAGACATGGAGGGAAGGTAGACATGGAGGGAAGGTGGACATGGAGGGAAGGTGGACATGGAGGGAAGGTAGACATGGAGGGAAGGTAGACATGGAGGGAAGGTAGACATGGAGGGAAGGTAGACATGGAGGGAAGGTGGACATGGAGGGAAGGTAGACATGGAGGGAAGGTAGACATGGAGGGAAGGTGGACATGGAGGGAAGGTGGACATGGAGGGAAGGTGGACATGGAGGGAAGGTAGACATGGAGGGAAGGTAGACATGGAGGGAAGGTAGACATGGAGGGAAGGTAGACATGGAGGGAAGGTGGACATGGAGGGAAGGTGGACATGGAGGGAAGGTAGACATGGAGGGAAGGTAGACATGGAGGGAAGGTAGACATGGAGGGAAGGTAGACATGGAGGGAAGGTGGACATGGAGGGAAGGTAGACATGGAGGGAAGGTAGACATGGAGGGAAGGTGGACATGGAGGGAAGGTAGACATGGAGGGAAGGTGGACATGGAGGGAAGGTAGACATGGAGGGAAGGTAGACATGGAGGGAAGGTAGACATGGAGGGAAGGTAGACATGGAGGGAAGGTGGACATGGAGGGAAGGTAGACATGGAGGGAAGGTAGACATGGAGGGAAGGTAGACATGGAGGGAAGGTAGACATGGAGGGAAGGTAGACATGGAGGGAAGGTGGACATGGAGGGAAGGTAGACATGGAGGGAAGGTAGACATGGAGGGAAGGTAGACATGGAGGGAAGGTAGACATGGAGGGAAGGTAGACATGGAGGGAAGGTGGACATGGAGGGAAGGTGGACATGGAGGGAAGGTGGACATGGAGGGAAGGTAGACATGGAGGGAAGGTAGACATGGAGGGAAGGTAGACATGGAGGGAAGGTAGACATGGAGGGAAGGTGGACATGGAGGGAAGGTGGACATGGAGGGAAGGTGGACATGGAGGGAAGGTAGACATGGAGGGAAGGTAGACATGGAGGGAAGGTGGACATGGAGGGAAGGTAGACATGGAGGGAAGGTGGACATGGAGGGAAGGTAGACATGGAGGGAAGGTAGACATGGAGGGAAGGTAGACATGGAGGGAAGGTAGACATGGAGGGAAGGTGGACATGGAGGGAAGGTGGACATGGAGGGAAGGTAGACATGGAGGGAAGGTAGACATGGAGGGAAGGTAGACATGGAGGGAAGGTAGACATGGAGGGAAGGTGGACATGGAGGGAAGGTGGACATGGAGGGAAGGTGGACATGGAGGGAAGGTAGACATGGAGGGAAGGTAGACATGGAGGGAAGGTGGACATGGAGGGAAGGTAGACATGGAGGGAAGGTGGACATGGAGGGAAGGTGGACATGGAGGGAAGGTGGACATGGAGGGAAGGTGGACATGGAGGGAAGGTGGACATGGAGGGAAGGTAGACATGGAGGGAAGGTGGACATGGAGGGAAGGTGGACATGGAGGGAAGGTGGACATGGAGGGAAGGTAGACATGGAGGGAAGGTGGACATGGAGGGAAGGTAGACATGGAGGGAAGGTAGACATGGAGGGAAGGTAGACATGGAGGGAAGGTGGACATGGAGGGAAGGTGGACATGGAGGGAAGGTGGACATGGAGGGAAGGTAGACATGGAGGGAAGGTAGACATGGAGGGAAGGTAGACATGGAGGGAAGGTAGACATGGAGGGAAGGTGGACATGGAGGGAAGGTAGACATGGAGGGAAGGTAGACATGGAGGGAAGGTAGACATGGAGGGAAGGTGGACATGGAGGGAAGGTGGACATGGAGGGAAGGTGGACATGGAGGGAAGGTGGACATGGAGGGAAGGTAGACATGGAGGGAAGGTAGACATGGAGGGAAGGTGGACATGGAGGGAAGGTGGACATGGAGGGAAGGTGGACATGGAGGGAAGGTAGACATGGAGGGAAGGTAGACATGGAGGGAAGGTGGACATGGAGGGAAGGTGGACATGGAGGGAAGGTAGACATGGAGGGAAGGTGGACATGGAGGGAAGGTAGACATGGAGGGAAGGTAGACATGGAGGGAAGGTAGACATGGAGGGAAGGTAGACATGGAGGGAAGGTGGACATGGAGGGAAGGTGGACATGGAGGGAAGGTAGACATGGAGGGAAGGTAGACATGGAGGGAAGGTAGACATGGAGGGAAGGTAGACATGGAGGGAAGGTGGACATGGAGGGAAGGTAGACATGGAGGGAAGGTAGACATGGAGGGAAGGTGGACATGGAGGGAAGGTGGACATGGAGGGAAGGTGGACATGGAGGGAAGGTGGACATGGAGGGAAGGTAGACATGGAGGGAAGGTGGACATGGAGGGAAGGTAGACATGGAGGGAAGGTAGACATGGAGGGAAGGTAGACATGGAGGGAAGGTAGACATGGAGGGAAGGTGGACATGGAGGGAAGGTAGACATGGAGGGAAGGTAGACATGGAGGGAAGGTAGACATGGAGGGAAGGTAGACATGGAGGGAAGGTAGACATGGAGGGAAGGTGGACATGGAGGGAAGGTAGACATGGAGGGAAGGTAGACATGGAGGGAAGGTAGACATGGAGGGAAGGTAGACATGGAGGGAAGGTGGACATGGAGGGAAGGTAGACATGGAGGGAAGGTAGACATGGAGGGAAGGTGGACATGGAGGGAAGGTAGACATGGAGGGAAGGTGGACATGGAGGGAAGGTAGACATGGAGGGAAGGTGGACATGGAGGGAAGGTAGACATGGAGGGAAGGTAGACATGGAGGGAAGGTAGACATGGAGGGAAGGTGGACATGGAGGGAAGGTGGACATGGAGGGAAGGTGGACATGGAGGGAAGGTGGACATGGAGGGAAGGTAGACATGGAGGGAAGGTAGACATGGAGGGAAGGTGGACATGGAGGGAAGGTGGACATGGAGGGAAGGTGGACATGGAGGGAAGGTGGACATGGAGGGAAGGTGGACATGGAGGGAAGGTAGACATGGAGGGAAGGTAAACATGGAGGGAAGGTGGACATGGAGGGAAGGTGGACATGGAGGGAAGGTAGACATGGAGGGAAGGTGGACATGGAGGGAAGGTAGACATGGAGGGAAGGTAGACATGGAGGGAAGGTAGACATGGAGGGAAGGTGGACATGGAGGGAAGGTGGACATGGAGGGAAGGTGGACATGGAGGGAAGGTAGACATGGAGGGAAGGTAGACATGGAGGGAAGGTAGACATGGAGGGAAGGTAGACATGGAGGGAAGGTGGACATGGAGGGAAGGTAGACATGGAGGGAAGGTAGACATGGAGGGAAGGTGGACATGGAGGGAAGGTGGACATGGAGGGAAGGTGGACATGGAGGGAAGGTGGACATGGAGGGAAGGTAGACATGGAGGGAAGGTGGACATGGAGGGAAGGTAGACATGGAGGGAAGGTGGACATGGAGGGAAGGTAGACATGGAGGGAAGGTAGACATGGAGGGAAGGTAGACATGGAGGGAAGGTAGACATGGAGGGAAGGTGGACATGGAGGGAAGGTAGACATGGAGGGAAGGTGGACATGGAGGGAAGGTGGACATGGAGGGAAGGTGGACATGGAGGGAAGGTGGACATGGAGGGAAGGTGGACATGGAGGGAAGGTAGACATGGAGGGAAGGTAGACATGGAGGGAAGGTGGACATGGAGGGAAGGTAGACATGGAGGGAAGGTAGACATGGAGGGAAGGTGGACATGGAGGGAAGGTAGACATGGAGGGAAGGTAGACATGGAGGGAAGGTAGACATGGAGGGAAGGTAGACATGGAGGGAAGGTAGACATGGAGGGAAGGTAGACATGGAGGGAAGGTAGACATGGAGGGAAGGTGGACATGGAGGGAAGGTAGACATGGAGGGAAGGTGGACATGGAGGGAAGGTAGACATGGAGGGAAGGTAGACATGGAGGGAAGGTGGACATGGAGGGAAGGTGGACATGGAGGGAAGGTAGACATGGAGGGAAGGTAGACATGGAGGGAAGGTAGACATGGAGGGAAGGTGGACATGGAGGGAAGGTGGACATGGAGGGAAGGTAGACATGGAGGGAAGGTAGACATGGAGGGAAGGTGGACATGGAGGGAAGGTGGACATGGAGGGAAGGTGGACATGGAGGGAAGGTAGACATGGAGGGAAGGTAGACATGGAGGGAAGGTGGACATGGAGGGAAGGTAGACATGGAGGGAAGGTGGACATGGAGGGAAGGTAGACATGGAGGGAAGGTGGACATGGAGGGAAGGTAGACATGGAGGGAAGGTAGACATGGAGGGAAGGTGGACATGGAGGGAAGGTGGACATGGAGGGAAGGTGGACATGGAGGGAAGGTAGACATGGAGGGAAGGTAGACATGGAGGGAAGGTGGACATGGAGGGAAGGTGGACATGGAGGGAAGGTAGACATGGAGGGAAGGTGGACATGGAGGGAAGGTAGACATGGAGGGAAGGTAGACATGGAGGGAAGGTAGACATGGAGGGAAGGTAGACATGGAGGGAAGGTGGACATGGAGGGAAGGTGGACATGGAGGGAAGGTAGACATGGAGGGAAGGTAGACATGGAGGGAAGGTAGACATGGAGGGAAGGTAGACATGGAGGGAAGGTGGACATGGAGGGAAGGTAGACATGGAGGGAAGGTAGACATGTAGGGAAGGTGGACATGGAGGGAAGGTGGACATGGAGGGAAGGTGGACATGGAGGGAAGGTGGACATGGAGGGAAGGTAGACATGGAGGGAAGGTGGACATGGAGGGAAGGTAGACATGGAGGGAAGGTGGACATGGAGGGAAGGTAGACATGGAGGGAAGGTAGACATGGAGGGAAGGTAGACATGGAGGGAAGGTGGACATGGAGGGAAGGTGGACATGGAGGGAAGGTAGACATGGAGGGAAGGTAGACATGGAGGGAAGGTGGACATGGAGGGAAGGTGGACATGGAGGGAAGGTGGACATGGAGGGAAGGTAGACATGGAGGGAAGGTAGACATGGAGGGAAGGTGGACATGGAGGGAAGGTAGACATGGAGGGAAGGTGGACATGGAGGGAAGGTAGACATGGAGGGAAGGTGGACATGGAGGGAAGGTAGACATGGAGGGAAGGTAGACATGGAGGGAAGGTGGACATGGAGGGAAGGTGGACATGGAGGGAAGGTGGACATGGAGGGAAGGTAGACATGGAGGGAAGGTAGACATGGAGGGAAGGTGGACATGGAGGGAAGGTGGACATGGAGGGAAGGTAGACATGGAGGGAAGGTGGACATGGAGGGAAGGTAGACATGGAGGGAAGGTAGACATGGAGGGAAGGTAGACATGGAGGGAAGGTAGACATGGAGGGAAGGTGGACATGGAGGGAAGGTGGACATGGAGGGAAGGTAGACATGGAGGGAAGGTAGACATGGAGGGAAGGTAGACATGGAGGGAAGGTAGACATGGAGGGAAGGTGGACATGGAGGGAAGGTAGACATGGAGGGAAGGTAGACATGTAGGGAAGGTGGACATGGAGGGAAGGTGGACATGGAGGGAAGGTGGACATGGAGGGAAGGTGGACATGGAGGGAAGGTAGACATGGAGGGAAGGTGGACATGGAGGGAAGGTAGACATGGAGGGAAGGTGGACATGGAGGGAAGGTAGACATGGAGGGAAGGTAGACATGGAGGGAAGGTAGACATGGAGGGAAGGTGGACATGGAGGGAAGGTGGACATGGAGGGAAGGTAGACATGGAGGGAAGGTAGACATGGAGGGAAGGTAGACATGGAGGGAAGGTGGACATGGAGGGAAGGTCGACATGGAGGGAAGGTAGACATGGAGGGAAGGTGGACATGGAGGGAAGGTAGACATGGAGGGAAGGTAGACATGGAGGAAAGGTAGACATGGAGGGAAGGTAGACATGGAGGGAAGGTGGACATGGAGGGAAGGTAGACATGGAGGGAAGGTAGACATGGAGGGAAGGTAGACATGGAGGGAAGGTAGACATGGAGGGAAGGTAGACATGGAGGGAAGGTGGACATGGAGGGAAGGTAGACATGGAGGGAAGGTAGACATGGAGGGAAGGTAGACATGGAGGGAAGGTAGACATGGAGGGAAGGTGGACATGGAGGGAAGGTAGACATGGAGGGAAGGTAGACATGGAGGGAAGGTGGACATGGAGGGAAGGTAGACATGGAGGGAAGGTGGACATGGAGGGAAGGTAGACATGGAGGGAAGGTGGACATGGAGGGAAGGTAGACATGGAGGGAAGGTAGACATGGAGGGAAGGTAGACATGGAGGGAAGGTGGACATGGAGGGAAGGTGGACATGGAGGGAAGGTGGACATGGAGGGAAGGTAGACATGGAGGGAAGGTAGACATGGAGGGAAGGTAGACATGGAGGGAAGGTGGACATGGAGGGAAGGTGGACATGGAGGGAAGGTGGACATGGAGGGAAGGTAGACATGGAGGGAAGGTAGACATGGAGGGAAGGTAGACATGGAGGGAAGGTAGACATGGAGGGAAGGTGGACATGGAGGGAAGGTAGACATGGAGGGAAGGTGGACATGGAGGGAAGGTAGACATGGAGGGAAGGTAGACATAGAGGGAAGGTAGACATGGAGGGAAGGTAGACATGGAGGGAAGGTGGACATGGAGGGAAGGTAGACATGGAGGGAAGGTAGACATGGAGGGAAGGTAGACATGGAGGGAAGGTAGACATGGAGGGAAGGTAGACATGGAGGGAAGGTGGACATGGAGGGAAGGTAGACATGGAGGGAAGGTAGACATGGAGGGAAGGTAGACATGGAGGGAAGGTAGACATGGAGGGAAGGTGGACATGGAGGGAAGGTGGACATGGAGGGAAGGTGGACATGGAGGGAAGGTAGACATGGAGGGAAGGTAGACATGGAGGGAAGGTAGACATGGAGGGAAGGTAGACATGGAGGGAAGGTGGACATGGAGGGAAGGTGGACATGGAGGGAAGGTAGACATGGAGGGAAGGTAGACATGGAGGGAAGGTAGACATGGAGGTAGACATGGAGGGAAGGTAGACATGGAGGGAAGGTGGACATGGAGGGAAGGTAGACATGGAGGGAAGGTGGACATGGAGGGAAGGTGGACATGGAGGGAAGGTGGACATGGAGGGAAGGTGGACATGGAGGGAAGGTGGACATGGAGGGAAGGTAGACATGGAGGGAAGGTGGACATGGAGGGAAGGTAGACATGGAGGGAAGGTGGACATGGAGGGAAGGTAGACATGGAGGGAAGGTAGACATGGAGGGAAGGTAGACATGGAGGGAAGGTGGACATGGAGGGAAGGTGGACATGGAGGGAAGGTAGACATGGAGGGAAGGTAGACATGGAGGGAAAGTAGACATGGAGGGAAGGTGGACATGGAGGGAAGGTGGACATGGAGGGAAGGTAGACATGGAGGGAAGGTGGACATGGAGGGAAGGTAGACATGGAGGGAAGGTAGACATGGAGGGAAGGTAGACATGGAGGGAAGGTGGACATGGAGGGAAGGTAGACATGGAGGGAAGGTAGACATGGAGGGAAGGTAGACATGGAGGGAAGGTAGACATGGAGGGAAGGTAGACATGGAGGGAAGGTGGACATGGAGGGAAGGTAGACATGGAGGGAAGGTAGACATGGAGGGAAGGTAGACATGGAGGGAAGGTAGACATGGAGGGAAGGTGGACATGGAGGGAAGGTAGACATGGAGGGAAGGTAGACATGGAGGGAAGGTGGACATGGAGGGAAGGTAGACATGGAGGGAAGGTGGACATGGAGGGAAGGTAGACATGGA